AACTTCCGTTCCTGCTTTTTATTTTTGTGCACTGTAGCACCCACAATAGGAAACTCCTCATTAATACAATATACACACATCATCCTTCACTAACATGTGTATTTGCTTGTTTCAAGGAACCCATTTGATTTTTTTTTAGTATTAGCTGTTGTTTTGTTCCCAGTATAAAGGCACAAAAGGGGAAAGAACATCTGTTCAGTGAGCTGGGAGAGACTAAAAAAGTTTGAAAAGGCTATTACTGTTATATTGCAGCACTTCTACTTCTGTGCATCACTCCTTTCAAGATCTGTTACCCTAAACAACTGCAAGTAAGAAAAGAGTTTCTCATAGTCAAGGAATATTCTTCATAGATGCACTCCCACAGGGCTGCTGTTTCAGCACTGACAGCAGTTGGCAATGCAACTTTTAATTCAGTGGAGCTTTGCAGATAACTCTGGGCCTTGACCACACACACTAAAATCTGAAGTCAGACCAAGTGACAGTGGGAGATGGTGTGAGCAGTGCACAGACAGTATCTGTTACCAATCCAGAAGTAACATCAGATTAAAATTCAGTACCAGGGGCCTGTCTTTATTACCCCAACACTTGAATTTAGGATAAGATTTGTATTTGTTTATTTTTAAAATAGAGGTTTTAACTTACTGAGCCAACAAACTTCGTAGACATAACCCAAATAGGAAACAGTAAGAACTTGGATGCTAAAACACCTTTCAGAGGATACATACACTTTATCAATTAGTCTCAGTAACTGAAGACTTTTATTTCTATGAAGAGCTACCTTTTTAAAGTGATGTTTAATTGAATCAAAACTGGTTTCTGCAATACTTAACCAATTGTAGCAAATCTCTTCATCTGTGAATCTCCTGGGGTCGGATGTGTTTTAAATGGGTAACTGGTTTTGATAGCATATTGCTCAAGAAGAAGTACTGTGCCAACCTTCATACTGTTATACCATTCAGGGCATAATGAATTCCACAAAACCATTGACATCATGCCTGAACCATCAGCAACTTCAAAGTAAGCCTAAAGAGACAAAATACATTCATATTTTATTTATCATCATTCTGGTATGTATTTATTTCAGATAATGCATCACCTATTTGAGTTGTGAACAATTTCTCTGATGATTACAAATGGATACAGAGTATGTTCCAACACTTGCATTGAATACTAGAGTTGAAGAAAACCCTAATTTCCACAAAATTATTCTTCCACAACTACCCCAGCCCAAACTCTTGCCTTTCCAGTGCTCAATAACAGTAGGTGGTGCCAGTGTGACTCTAGGTTTTTGGAGGGGGTTGGGGAAATACCATGTACAAGACTTAAAAAGATTCTTCTTTATCAGAGAGAATGCTGTATGTAGAATACAATTTCAAAATATCCATGAAGGAAAAACACATTTTGGACTATAAGATGTTACAGGACCATTTGCTAAACATTCTTGACCAAAACATTGATACAAGTCTGATTTTCAAGCAAAACAAAAAAAGCAAACAATCTGCATTGCAAACAAGTATCTTTTTATTGATGTTTTTCTCATGACAAAGATTTCTGCTAGGTTGTTTTTGTTGTTGTTTTTTTCTTTTTAAACTGGGTGAACTTTGAATCCATAACTGAGCAACAAAAAAGATTTTTAAACTGACTTGTAATAAAGGGTAGCAAGCCACTGAAAAATCTCAGCTCTATCAAACTGCTTCATTTTATCCATTCAACTGTCAACTTCAAACAATCACCTGTTTTTGTTCATACTACCACTCACTGTCTTTAATAGATCACCATTCCCAAGCATATCTAACACCTTATGTCTTTCTCCTTGCTGCTTCTAAAATTATCTCTTCCTTATTTCAAGTTCAGTATAGAGATGATAAAAATCAACACTTACTAATTCATTCTACTGTTCCTAACTAGTCATGAACCATGCATCCTTGAAAGTAAAACCCTTGTAAACATCTTTTGTTATCCCATTGGTTATTATCTAGTAACAATTCAACACACACTACCTAAAGAAGGAATGCATAGAGTAAAAAGCATGTCAAATCTGTTTCCTGACTTCTTGAGCTACATCAGCTCTGGGAATCGATTCTACATCCAATACCAGGAAACGTGAGTGACAGACTGCACCGGAAGTTGGGAGTATCACCTAGACTGTCTATTGAGAAGCACCTCCAATGGAAAGACCCAGATTTATCTTCATGTGCAAAGAGAATGGGAAATTGGAGCAACAGAAGGCCACAGCCCTTCATTAAGATGTTTCATCCCTCTCCTCCCCCCGTGGATGAACTCACATGAGTTATTGGAGCTCTTTGGAAAGTGCTGCCCTCCTGTACAGGGCCTGGCTGGGATGCAGTTGATTTTCTTTGTACCAGCCTGCGTGGTGCTGCAGGATAGATCTGTGACTAAAATAGTGGTGATAATACACCAATGTTTTAGCTGTTACTGAACAGCACTTGCAGTGTCAAGGTGTTCCTCTGTTTCTCACTCTGCCACCCCAGCAAACTAGGGATAGGCAAGAAGCTGGGAAGGGACACAGCCAAAACAGATGACCTGAACTGACCTTGGCAATATTCCATGCCATGTGACATCATGCTGATGTGAGGGGCTGCTCGTCTTCCCAAGTACCCACTGTTCAGAGACTGGCTGGGCATTGTTCTGCTGGTGAGAGGTGGTAAGGAACTGCCTTTGCATCATCACTTGTTTGCCTTCTCCCCCCACCCCCTTCGCCTTCTTAAACTGCCTCAGTCAATTGGTTTTCCCTCACTTTTGCTCTTCCAATTCTATCTCCCACTCCACTGGAGGGGGCAGGCAAACTAGCAGCTGGTGTTTAGCTATTAAAAACTCCAAATATTTATATCTGTTTTCATAGAAAGCTCAACTGAACTATAGTAACTGAAACACATCCACCAAACTGTACATACAATTCGCCATTTCCTACTCTAAAGGGCTCATCATTTTTCTGAAGGTAGCATTTTAATATAAAGTAGCTACAACATAAATCTTAACTTTACGTGCTTTCTATATGGGAATAAAGGCATCCAAATATCCTACAGATATTTGCTCAAGTGTTAACCTATGTATTTATCCCTCTTTACCTGATAAGGCATATCCAGCGTTTTCTCTGGTTTTCCATAGTACCTTAATCTAGATTTGTGCATGACTCTCACAAGAATTGGATGAAAGTGAACTCTGCTTCTCCAGGTCATTTCCAGCTGACAGAGAGAAGTCAGCCTGGAGACTGAGACAACAAAAAGAGAAAGAAAAAAGAAAAAGGATCAAAAAAGAGTGCTTGTGATTGAACATTTAAGTTGTCAGGAGTGAAGAGCACAGACTGGGCCATCACATATATTATCTTTATGTTTCTAACATTTAAAAAGACTCATTTGCTAATACTATTCACCAGGAAATCCTGTTCTCTGCTACCTTCACACAGCATAGTTTTGATCTGTTGTGGTTTTTTTTTTTGTTTGTTTGTTTTTTCAATTGAGAGTGATGAAACATTTAAGATGACAGAGAACTGTCAGATCATCAGAAGAGCTACTACAAAAGACAGCTGTCAGCACACAGTGGCTTCACACTGGTGCGGAAGTCCTGCTCACATCTCCCTCTCCACCAGGCTTCACCAACAGGCCCAGGCCCCTCAGCCCTCACCACATTTTGGGTTGGCAGCTTCCAGGTGTGTGTGCTCAGTCCCGCAGAGCAGCCACGAGACTGCCACAGAGCCGACGTTTTCGATGCCTCACAAGACCGGGAGCAAACGAGACAGCTCCGCGCTGTCAGTCAACGCTCTGTGCGGCTTAACCAGCCCTTTGAAACTGACACGAACACCCGGGCACCTTCCCACCGGTGCCTAACGCAGCCGGCGGGTCACATCTGGTGACAGAGCCCG